GAAAACAATACTTCATGCAGCAGGAATCCCAAAAAAAGCAGGAGTAGCCATTCTGTTTGCAGACAATGTAAACTTTAAACCAACAATAACCATAAAGGACAAAGAAGGTCACTACATACTCGTTAGGGGAAAACTGCAAGAGGAAGAGATAACTGACTTAAATATATATGCACCAAACTCCAGAGTATCCAGTTATATGAAACAACTATTAACAGAAACGAAAACTCAGATTATCAATAACACAATTGTAACAGGAGACCTTAATATGCCATTGACACCAAGGGACAGATCGACCAGACAGAAAATGAGCAAAGAAATAACAGAACTGAATCATACCTGTGAACAAATGGATTTGATAGACATATACAGAATGTTCCACCCAATAACATCAGAATACACATTCTTCTCAGCAGTACCTGGGTCATTCTCTAAAATAGACCATATATTAGCTCACAGAACATTATTTAAACAAATGAAAAAGAGGTGAAATCATCCCTTGCATGTTATCAGATCATAGTGCTCTGAAATTAGAAATTAATGATAAAAGATAATGCAAAAATCCCACAAACACATGGAAACTGAATAACACACTCTTGAGTAATCAGTAGGTCACAGAAGAAATTAAACAATACTTACAAGAAAATGAAAATGCAGATACAACTTACCGGAATCTGTGGGATGCAATGAAAGCCATCCTCAGAGGAAAATTTATTGCACTGAGTTCCCACATCAGGAAAACAGAACAAATACAAATAAATAACCTGATGCTACACCTCAAACAGCTAGAAAAAGAAGAGCAAGTCAAGCCCAAAGCCAAAAGAAGAGAGGAAATTATAAAAATCAGAGCAGAAATCAATGCAATAGAGACTAAGAAAACAATCCAAAGAATCAACGAATCAAAGAGTTGGTTCTTTGAAAGAATAAATAAAATCGATAAGCCCCTAGCCAACCTTATTTTAAAAAGGGAAGAAAAAGCTCAAATTCATGCAATAAGAAATGAAAAAGGTGAAATCACTACAGACTCTACAGAAATACAGAAGATCATCAACACCTATTTTGAAAACCTCTACTCTCAAAGGTTTGATAACACAGAAGAAATAGACAGATTCTTAGAAACATATGAAGTACCAAAGCTAGATCAAGAGGATGTAAAACTGCTGAATAACCCAAACTCTGTTAATGAAATTGAAAATGTAATTAAGTCCTTACCTACAAAGAAGAGCCCAGGCCCAGATGGATTCACTGCAGAATTCTACAAGAAATACAAAGAAGACCTAATACCGACACTCCTCAAACTATTCAATGAAATTGAAAGGGAAGCAATCCTTCCTAAGTCATTCCTGGAAGCAAATATTACTCTAGTACCAAAACCTGAGAAAGAACCAACTAAAAAAGAGAACTATAGACCAATCTCCCTAATGAACACAAATGCAAAAATCCTCAATAAAATATTGGCAAATAGGATGCAGCAAATCATCAAGAGGATTATACACCATGACCAAGTGGGATTCATCCCAGGAATGCAGGGATGGTTCAACATATGTAAATCAATAAATGTAATCCACCATATCAATAAAGCCAAAATTAAGAATCACATGATCATTTCTATAGATGCAGAAAAAGCCTTCGATAAGGTCCAACATTCATTCATGATAAGAACTTTACAGAAAATTGGAATAGATGGTCTTTACCTCAATATAATAAAGGCCATTTATGACAAACCAACAGCCAGCATCATACTAAATGGCCAAAAATTGAAAGCCTTTACTTTAAAATCAGGCACAAGACAAGGATGTCCTTGATCACCTCTCCCATTTAGTATAGTACTGGAAGTACTAGCCAGAGCAATTAGACAAGAGAGAGAAATAAAAGGGGTAAAGATAGGAAAAGAAGAAGTTAAATTATCATTGTTTGCAGATGACATGATACTCTACATAGAAGACCCCGAAACTCCTTTGAAAGACTCTTAGATATAATAAATAAATTCAGTAATGTAGTTGGTTCTTTCTCAAAATCAATACTCAGAAATCAATAGCATTCCTATACACTAACAACGAAATCACAGAGAGGTAAATAAGAGAAACCACACTCTTCACACTAGCAAGGAAAAAAATGAAATATTTAGGAATTACTCTTACAAAAGAAGTGAAAGACCTATACAGGGAAAATTATAATACACTGAAAAAAGAAATTGAAGATGATCTCAGAAAATGGAAAGACATCCCTTGCTCATGGATAGGAAGAACAAACATTGTGAAAATGGCCATTCTCCCAAAACTGTTATACAGATTCAATGCAATCACAATAAAAATACCATCAACATACCTTATAAATCTAGAGAAATCACTCCTAAAATTCATCTGGAACCACAAGAGACCTAGAATAGCAAAGGCAACTCTAAGCAGCAAAGGCAAGGCAGGAGGCATCACAATCCCTGACTTGAAGTTATATTACAAGCAACAGTAGTAAAATCAACATGGTACTAGAATCAAAACAGAGACGAAGATCAATGGAATAGATTAGAAGATACAACCACAACTACAAACACACTCAACCACCTTATCTTTGATAAAGGAGCCAAGCAGGTTCACTGGAACAACGACAGTCTCTTTAATAAATGGTGCTGGAAAAACTGGCTCTCCATTTGCTGAAAACTAAAGCTAGACCCAAGCCTATCACCATGTACTAAATTAAAATTTAAATGAATCAAAGATCTGAATATTAAAACAGAAACACTAAATCTATTGGAAGACAAATTGGGTAGAAACCTTGAAGACAAAGGGGTAGGTAGAGAATTCATGAACAGGACTCAAACCGCACGGGAAATACTTCCCAGAATCAATAACTGGGTCCACTTATTAAAAAGTTTCTGCATGTCAAAAGAAATCTCTAGCATAGTGAAAAGAAAACCCACAAACTGGGAAAAGATTTTAGTGAACTCCCTCTCAGACAAGGGACTCTTGTCTAAAACATATAAAGAATTTTAAAAACTCAGACCCCCAAAATTCAAAGATCCAATCCAAAAATGGGCATCTGAGATGAATACGCACTTCTCAGATGAAGAAATACAAATGACAAATAAATACATGAAAAAATGTTCATCATCATTGGTCATTAGAGAAATGCAAATTAAAACCACACTGAGATTCCATCTCACTCCTGAAAGAATGGCCAGGATCAAGAAAACCAACAACAAATGCTGGAGAGACTGTGGGGAAAAAGGAACTCTCCTGCACTGTTGGTGGGAGTGTAGACTGGTACAACCTTTGTAGAGGTCAGTCTGGAGATTTCTCAAAAGGCTGGGATTGGAAGTCCCATTTGTTCCAGCTAGTCCACTTCTAGGCATATTCCGAAAAGAACTGAAAGCATTATACCAGAGTGATATATGTGCACCTATGTTTATAGCAGCACAATTTGTAATTGCCAGATCTTGGAAACAACCCAAGTGTCCATCAACTGAGGAATGGATAAAAAAAGTTGGTATTTCTATACAATGGAGTATTACTCAGCTATAAAGAAGGATCACATTGAGATATTTATCAATAAATGGGCACAGCTTGAGACCATACTCATGCGAAATAAATCAATCTCGCATGTGTGAATACTGAATAGTTTACCTAATGTAAGTAATGATTCAAATATATAAAAGTATGTTGTAATCATGATTCCCCATTATGTGGCCTTGAAGCCTTATAAAGTTTTCACTTATTAATTGGAATGGCTTTATTCTGGGCTGCTTGATATGGAAATATTTGAAGCTATAGTATATGAAGTTATATTCAAATATTTCAAGGAAAAAGACAGACACTATGGTAACTACTATTAAGTCGGGTTATTTGGTGGTGAAGCACTAGGTTGCTGAAATAGTCATGCTTTGATCTGTATTGTTATGTTGTTATGTCCTCTTTTATCTCAATCTCTCCCTTATTCATTAAAAAATTAGTTTTTTATGGTTTTTGTAATTAAGGGAAAAATTTTTTTAAATTAGCAGGATATATTATAGTAACTTTTTTTGATTTCCTATTAACTTGATTTGAAGTCCTGTAATACTCCCACGATCTTGTTTTGACTGATTAGACTCTGTTCCATTCTGTATGATAGTATCAAGTTTGAGGGTATAGGCAACTACTTTGAAGGCAATAAGATTCACTAAGATGCCCATTCTGGTTTGACTATTATCTCCTTTGGAAGTCCCGTAATGTTTACAATGTTTAAGTTTTATTGGTCTTGTTTTCTGATGGTTTGTTCAACTTTATAATACCTAATGAGATAGACAATTCTTTTTAAGGAAGCAAGAGGCATTATGGTAACCATTGTTGATAACCTTGTACTCTGTTTTTACATCATGTGCTATGTCTATCCTTGGTTTTGACTGACAGCTTTGTTTTGCCATATTTGACTTTATTCTCTTCCAAAAAAAAAGTAATAAGAACTAAGGAGTAATAAAACCCAAAATGTGTAAATTTTGTTGTAAAAAAGAGAGGGAAAAAAAGTGCTCTAAAGGATACAACTGCAAGTGTGTTTAGGGTTTTAGATAGCTGACCATATTAATGTTTTTGGTTGGATCATTGAACACAACTGTTTGTAGTCTCTCTGTTTGAATGTCCACTTTGTATGCTTTGATACTGTGACTTGAGCAACTATCTCTAAGATGATAATGTGTAATCTATTAACTGGTGATTTCTTACTGGTTTTTTTTTTTTTGTAGTTCTGTATTACTTGTACCCTTACACCGCTTTGTTTTGTTTTTTCTCTTTTTCCTTTTAAATAAAATTTAAAAAGAAAACGTTCTTGGCAAATTCTCCAGAACATGTGTGGCCTCTACGTTCCTGTGTGCTGCCCAGAGAGCTGATGGTCACCTGTCCCCAGAGGGTGCCCTTGTGGCTTCCACTCCACAGAGCTCTCTTCCTGAACCCAGTTTGCAAGAAACAGTAGCCTAGCCCCTTCAACTCCAGTCCTGGTTCTTCTGAATCAAGTCTTTCCGTTAAACATTTCTCACAGTAATTTTAAACTTTAATTCCATACCATACTAAAGTGAAGAGCAAAATCTCTACAACAGCTCTTTTATATTTTTTATGATGAGGAATTTATTGGTATATCTATTTGGAATAGATTTTCCTACTGCAGGCCTAAAAAGATATTCCACATTGAAATCATTCTCAGAACACTTTATCTACTTGAGAGTATGTCCTTCTTTCTCCTCTCCTTGCTTGTTAATGAGCAATAATTAAAATTGATTCATATTAATAAGAGGAATGGAGATGCATTGCATTGCAAAAATATTTTTAAAATATAAAATCTTCAAGTGCATAAATATCAGTAATAGAGCAATTAAGATCCAAAGTTTCATCCATGTGGAGTATCCACATCTGGTGCGTTTCAAATCTGGTGGTGTGGCTGAAACAAACAAACAAAAAAAAAAAAAAACCCTGCTTCCTTCAGTGAATCAGCCTAATTGAATAGATAAAGTTATAATTATAATCCATTAATGTCACATGGTCCAGGTAAAACAGCATCAGTCTTGTGTGTCTCTGAGTATATTAGTTCTGCATTTCTTTCCTCCTGGAATCTGGGTATGATTTTCCTAGATATTTATGATCCAAGGATTATAAAAGAACTTATTTGAAAGCATTCCAGTGCAAATTTCCTCCTGTAAGCTGTTCTACTGGACCCAGGTAGAAGCTTCAAATTAGGACTTTATACTGGGTGTCTTGGTGAGGGGAAATCCACCCCCAATAAAACGAGGGCCCGTGGGCTTGGCAATCAAGATGGTGTTCTCTATGGGAAGTTGGTCTTTGTTCCTGTAAGAGAGGAGATGAAAGTTAGCTCCTTTAATATCTTTCCCCATCTACTTCAATGCTCCATGAAGTCCTAAGGTGGATTAGCCACTGAAAGCAATTCTGATGAAAGCTTCTAGTTTTTGACAAGGTGGTTGTGTAAGTCTAATTAAGTGTTCTCTGGCAAAACAGAGTTGGGGAAAGACAAATGTGAAAGGTACTTTCCTAATGTTGATCTAAATATGCACAGAAGACCTCATTATAACTTAAATACCATAGATTTGGTGGCTTCTGATTTGTAATCACCTTCCTATTTTAAAACAAGTTGTTTAGTTCCAGATATCTGCCAGAAGAATTTTCTGTTAGCTCAGTCACTGTGACTAACTCATCATTTGTCACCTGCACTTATCACCTGGCACATTCCAAAGTTCAGGTTAAAATTTATAAATACCAAACATAATGTATCTCACCAAATTTGGACATTTACAAAATACAAAATTTCCCATAACTCTAGACAAGCAACCATTATTACTGGAAATGGTTAAATTTGGAGAAGAAAAGACAGACTGTATTCTTGGCACCAAATAAAATTTATAGTGGATTTTCTATATGAATCTTGAAATACATACACAGACCCACATCTATTCATTACATTTCCACAAGTTATCTATTTTATGGTCAAGAGTCTTAGAGAAAACACTAGTGGAATCCCCTTTAAGCAACAATTAAGCAAACTGCTGTATCTAAATAAATTAGATAAACACCTATGAGTATTTGAGGCTAGGACAATGAATTTTGCCTCTTGACAAAGAATCCACACCTAAAATTCTGGACCAGCTGGGGGCCCAGGTGGTAGAGTTAGGGGTAGAAGGGATGCTCGTGAGAAAGCCAGTGCCTAAGAAAGTGAGAGGAGGCAAAAAGTTAAAAACGATATGAACTGCTGTTTTATAAAGGGTATGTCTGGGAGAACATCCGCAGAGCAATCTAAATTGTTCCATTTGGAAATAATCTTAAAAGATTGGTTAATCAACGCAGCTGTCTCTTAGCAGAATTGATTTCTTCACTGAGAATCACCATCCTCTCTAAATAGCACAAAAGCTTTGGCCCAGAGTGGATCCAGGGAAGAGGATTCCTGTATGGCCTCTGGCAGCTTCTCCAGCTCCTGACTGGCTTGAGCCACAGGCTGCCCTTCCCTCCCCTCCCCTCTCCTCCCCCCTCCTCTCCCCTCCCCTCCCCTTCCCTTCCCTTCCTTTGCACGCCCTTGACTTGAATAACCTAAATTTCCCTTTCTGGAGGAACTTAAGCTTAATGCTGCTGGCTTGGCCTATGCTGACTAATGGGAATGCTGTCTTCTTTACATTATCATTTTAATGTATTTATAGACCATTATAATGACTCCCTGCAGTCTTCCTCCTTCCAATCTAAACCATCTCAGCATTTTAGTTCTTGCCTGGGCATATTTTTCTCCAATACTTTCATCTCTTTTGCTATGAACACAGCTCTCTGTCTACCAGTTTGTGTCCCCAGCCAGATGGAACCACCATTGAAACTTAGCCAGGTCAAAGTGGCTATCACTGACCAGCATTTAAGGACAAAAAAGGACACATACAGGCAGAGGTTTGAGAGCAGCACTGCGCTATCAATCTTCCTGCAGTCATGGAGTCACCACTGGTCATACGCAGCTGCTGAGCACCTGAAATGCAGCCAGTGCAACTGAGGAACCGAATTTTAAATCTGCTTTAGCAGGAAAGTATTTGAATTCAAATAGCCATGTGTGGCATACAGCAAGGGGCATCGTGATTCTTGTGAATGGGTCATGGAGAAGGCCTGGCAGCGCCCACAGAATGAGGCTTGTTATGTTCCCATGTTCCCCATGTCCAGCAAAAGATGCAATGGCAAGTAAGCCTGAAGGAGACAAGGCCAAACCCAGGACCGAGGCGGGGAAGGGAATCAGCTCCTCACTGCTGTTAGCCACACTGGCTGACTGGAAGTGTGTACACTAAACCAGTGCTTTCCAAGTGGACTGAGGATCCACTAAGTATAGAACGAAGGCATCAAAGCTCCTGTTGACACCTTTATATTTAAAAGTTCACAATGACATCTTACTCATAGTTGCAAAATGACAATAGCTTGTAATGTATACATTAGAATATATGGAGATAAATATGAAACCACTCTACAATAAAAATGGTATTTATGTATATATGTGGTATATACATGTGGTAGAGGAAGCTGCAGGTTCGAGAATCTTTTATTGATCGGGGAATGTGTCAAAGCTTGAAGACCAATGAGCTGAACATTGGCCTCCTGTGGGAACTGGCCATGTTGACAGTTTCTAAGCCCAGCTGCGATCTCCTAAAAGAAACTGGTAGTGCTTTCCCTCCATTAGGCATGTAATTCACACCTTTAACCTCATGTGTGCAAACTTCCGTGTACATGCAGTTCACCTGAGCGGCCTGTGAAGTGGCAGATTTCTGAGGTCCACCCAGAGCCTACAGAATCTGACAAGCTGGAGATGGGGCCCAAGAACTTAGAGTTGTCACATTGTTGCTACTCTTACATATTAAGACTTATCTAAATGATAGCAGTATTTTCCTCTACCAAGATGGCGTCTGAATGTGGAACTGGGGGTATTCTGATTTACAAGAAGGGCAAGTTTTTACTAGTAAGTGAATTTGCATCTGGCCACTTTATATGCCTCTACCAGATCTCTGGTGCATTTGAATTGTTTTTCACATGTCCCAAGCCCATGGAAATGAAATACCAAAGATGACTATGAACCCAGAGGGTAGGTCACAACCTATTCAGTGGGATGATTTGGGAAATGCTGTGCAATCTAACCAAGTTTCAAATCTGACTGATTCATTTGAGTTTTCTACCTCAGTCTAAGATCAGGCAAAGCACAATAGCACAGCAAGGGAATGTTCATAGTCAATACATGGGCACCTGAAACTCACAACATTAACTTCTTATTTGCATTATTATCTCCCTCCAAAAATGGCCATGTCAGCACCCCATGGCAGATACTAAATCAAGTATGAGACATAGATGACAGTTCCAAGATAGTTAACCTCAAGCACAGGGAACGCTGGTAACTACAGTGGTACAGCTACATTATTAGAACAGTTTTGCCAAGGCCTGCTCCCTTAGCAAAGGTGCATGTGGTTTTCATTGTAAATTTGCTTCAGCCTGTGAGAGGCTCATTTTCAAGTGTAGTTCTGACATGATTATTTCCAAACAACGGAAGAGCACAGGAGACCCCAGCCCATTCCCTCTGTTCCAAGTCAGAACCACCAATGAGCAGATATTAGGGAATTCCCATTAGGGCCCTAGGGAAGGGCCTCAGAATTGGATGACACACTGATCTTACTCTGATACGAACCAGTTAGTGACCTGTGGAATGTGTCTGCTCCCCCATGACTCTATTTACCCCAGTGAAGTTTGCAACCCTGTGAGCATTCACTGAATATTTTCTTATGAGCAAATAATAGCCATGACAGAATCAGAACTTTTGACTAATTCTTACTTTTGTGCAAGTTCTTTGCGTTTCTGAGCCAGATATTTCTTCTTTACATTCATCAGTTCATTGCCGAGTTTCTCAATCTCATACTTATACTCTTGGCTTTGTGATTCATACATATTCAGCTCTGAAGACAAAACCTGACATGGCAAGGAAAGCAGAATTAGTAAAAGATGCAGGGTTAAATAATAACCTTCTCTGAAAACCTTTTAATCTACCACTTAGCTAGCAGCACACAGTGATGCACAGGTTTAACAGCTGACCTGCTTGTTTCCCAGGCTCAAGGTCCATATCTGAGTAAAACCTCAAACAAGACTCATAACCAAGTGATGAAGGTAAATGAGACCCTGCTCCATTGCTTAAACAGAGAACTGTCAGGCAACAGCCAAACAGCGAAGGTGAGTTGGTGTAACGCATTTCAAGGGATATTGTGAGTAGAGACAGAAAAGCCCCCAGATACATGGTCTAAAATTGTAAAACCTTTAAAAATATACACTCAAGAAAAGTACCACTAGAGAATGTGATTTGTCTCAGGATGATGGCAAAACTTATTCCAAAATCACTCTGCCGCCACCACTCACTGAGTTGTATCTGCCAAGGTGGTGGTCCTGGTAAAGGTCCATCACCTCTCCATGATGCTCTTTGGTGCCATTTGCCAGCCCTGCTTTTATCTCAGTGCTGGAACACACAAATCTAGGAAATCCCAGGGGCTGCAGCGTGTGCATAGGAGAGCGATGCAAGCAAGACAGGGCTGTGGTAAGAAGCCCAATCACTCACCTTCCACACTGTGTTCAGTGAGTGCGATGGTCTTGGACTGAACCAGAGCTAGACTTTAAAACACAAAGCAAGCCCAAGCGAGGATGCACCCACCACCCCAATCAAGAGGAGAAAAGGCAGGGGAATGTTCTGAGGGGCATGCAGGAAACTCAGTTTGTGGTTCTTCGCACTTGCTAGTTTAAAGGTTTTCATAAAAGGGACATCTTCGCTTTTTGAGTATTCATCTGCTTCTGAACTCTTTCTTTTTAATCACCGCAAATGTTATTTTGACTATGCTATCACAACCTAAAGACAGTGACTTCACGTTGGAAAAAAAAGTCTTGTTATTAAACACTAATAACAAGATTCTGTTTCCAAACAATGAATGGAGAATTTCCTGAGAGTCCAGATAATAACCCTGGACAGTGGGACAGCCTCAGGACTGCCTGCCTCAGAGTCTCCTTTCTGCTTGAGGTTGTATTTCCTTCTGAGTGACAAACGTGGGCTTCCTGAGATAAAGAGATACAGAAAGTATCAAAAAGTTCCTTGAGAATGCCATTTTTGGCCATTCAAAGCTAAGTGGGCTAAGCCAGGCTGTGCTTTCCTAATCAACCCCCATCCTGACAAAATTAGAAATTTTGAATTGTGTTTGAAATGTTCAGTTGTTCCCAGGAACAAAGATAAAAGCCTATGCCCTATGCAAAGCTCACATCTTGTCTTAGATACTCACACGAAATGAACATTCAGAGTAATTTGAAAATTAATGTACTAATTAGACTTGTTTCACTGGCCCTTTGGTGTAAAAGGACACAGTTAGACCCTGTCCGACTTCTGAAAGTGGTATGAGATACTGCAGGGTGACATTTACTGCACCCCAGGTAGAAAAGCAGCAGCTGGGCAAGTAAGTGCCAGCAGCCGGCAGATGCTCGCTGCCTTCCACAGCTGTGTGCTCAGAGTTTGCTTAAGAGTCAAGAATAGGGAGCCTTTGCCTAGCGTGGAAAGTTCAAAAGGCAGTGTGACCACACACAGTTTTTAAGAAAACCTCCAAAAGGGAAATACAATAGAGAAACACCTCATCTCTCCAGCTGCGGCTCTTATGTTACCTAGAAGAGACCAGGCTAAAGAAAGCCTGGCATGATTTTCTCCCTCTTTCTTAGACACTGTCTAACAGTCATGCAGAAAGACCCGGGCGTGGGAAGAGCTTTGCTTTCCTGGTGGAGGGGATTATCAGAAATCTCCCACTGGCCAACAGCATTACAGGTTCAAAGGCCCCTAAATCCTGTGGTCATCCACACCACCTTGGCTACCAAATTTCCATTTCACTACCTTCGTGCTCCCCCAACTCTGCCCTCCTGTACCCACGGCCCCCTGAAAATGGAGGGTGCACTACCTCGTGAGCTGTGAGAAAGCTGAGCTGGTAGTGTGCAGTACAGAGCTGGCTCACTGGCTCACCAGGCCGGTGCCGCCCCCAGAGCAGGCCTAAGTGTGCCCAGACCCACTGGAACTTACCTTAAGCTGCTTGGTCTTCTCCCGCAGGGTGTGCCGATAGATCTGCAGCTGTTCCGCAGCCTCAGGGCCAGGCTGCCGGGCCAAAATGTGCTTCAGTTCCACGTACAACTTCTCCTTCTCCTGTGCAGAGTGTAACCCAGGACAGAGATCAACAGCCCTGTCCAAGTGCCTCTCACCCCACACACAGGATCCTCTGTGCTCAGCCTAAGCCACTCTGCAGCTGCTACCTGCTGCTCACAGTTGCTGACTACTGACCCTCACCAAGGGCCCGGGATGGGCCCAGTGCCTGGGTACAAACAGGAAGACAGATGAGAGAAGGTCCTTGGTCCCTGGACAAAGGATCACGTGACTATGAAGCAAAGGCAGCCCTGTGAGATCCCAATCAAGACCTGCAACCAGTGAGAACAGGGAGGGATGTGGTTGGGAGGGCTAGAAAAATCAGTGGGGGTTTCCCCAAGCACACAGAGAAGAGACGAGTTTTTCAGGCCACAGTTGCATGATGGAACAGGAGCATGGTGAGTCCAGCTCCACAGGAGCACAAAGCAGGAGGAGTGGAAGGATGGAGAGAAGAGACTGGCTCTTAGGATGAGAGCAGGCTATGTCAGGACTGCCTCCATCCATCTGGCAGACTGGAATCCAGGGATGAGCCTGGGTTTATCTTCAGGGGATGGATTCCAACTCGAAGCAGAGTGCAGGGGGATGACACTGACTCCCAAGGCCCCATGCAAGCAGAAGAGGGAGCTGCTGGACCTCAGGAACCTAGGGCAGAAGAAAACCTCACGAAGGTGGGATCTGCAGAATTCAGTGACTGACAGATAAGAGAGGAAGAAAGGAGGAAGCATTAGGAGTCCAAAGTCTCTGACATGGAACCCTGGAGTGGGGACAGGGATAGGGAGATGGTGACGAGACAAATGGAAGAGGAATGGATGCCCTCGGGGAAATGTTGCTGCCTGAACAGAGTGAGGCCACCTGGAACCTGGGCAGAATCTGGGGGAATCTTGGAGAAGCTGTAAACAGGGCCCTGTATGGAAAAATAAAGGACAGGCTGAGGGAGAACAGAAGATCTCTGGGAGAACAAGACCAAGGGGTGGATAAGGGAGGGAGAGGGAGACAGTGCAGCCCCAGGCAAAAGAAGGCAGCTGTGTACAACACCCCAGAGTGGTCAGCAGCACCAGAGGAGGCAAGGACAGAAACAGAGAGAGCCAGGAGGACATTGTGGCTGACCTCACTCACACACGCTGCAGCAGCGTTTGGGGAACAGAAGTCACAGGGGTTGAAGAACAAATCAGGCACATGCCTGTGATCCCAAAACTTGAGGGGCAGGGGGAAGAGGATCACAAGTTAGAAGCCAACCTGGACTACATAGCAAGACTCTGTCTTTAAAAAAAAAATCCGAAGGAAGTTAAAAAAGGAAGTCTTTTAAGAAATGTGACAACACGGGAAGAAAAGAGCCTTGGAAATGGTTTCCCTAGGATAATGAGGACGCAAATTTGCAGAACTAAAAGAAAGGGTTTCCTAGGATCCCACAGCAAATCAGATTGCCATAACAGAATTTAAACAATGAGTAATACAGAATCCTCATCGGTATCTTAGAGTTTAATTGCTCGTAATGTGTTCTCACATCTAGCACCTCCCTTCTAGATTCTCGTATCTCTACTGTGCAATAATTTGAACAAACATTTATAAAGACTATGTGTCTACTCATTAGTCTCTGTGCACACTTGTTTCCTTGAAGTAATTATGTTACAGAAAACTAGAAGCAGGAGCTGTCATTAAATAAAACATCTGGCCAAACAGAAACCAATTCCTACTTAGAACTGCACAATTCTGGCATTGTCATCAAATAATCTATTTTTGCCAGAGCAAATAAAAGCCATTAAAAATCGATGAAATTCATTGTTGCCAACTTTTTTTTTTTTGTTTTTCCTTCCCCTGGCCAAATTATAGAAACCTTGTTAGCAAACAGTTCTACCTACAAAAGTGTTTTTGCAACTTAAAGATTACTTAGATAAAATAAACCTCTGGAGAAATACATTTAAAAAAAAAAAAAAAGCTCTCTTGTCATTTGAGACATATTTGCAGAAGAAACAAGGAAACCCAAAAGCCCATGCTAAAGAAACCCTAAATAAACAGAATTACAAATGATGATTTTCCTTTGCGTACAACACCTCCTGTCACACCTTACAGTATAATCTTCACAGCAAATGGATATAGCAAGCAGTACGGATATCAGGGGGGGGAGTTTATTTTCTACAGTTGCTTAATGCCTGCTCTGTTGGAAAAATAACGCTTTTGACAGGGCTTCAAGATTCAGCTTGGAAAGGGTAACATGTTTGTGGAGAAGCCCATGAAACAGTTTGTCTGTTTCTTTCAGCTCACCTTTTTTTTCTTCCAGAGTACAGGGAGACTTGAAAAGTAGGGAACCCCACAATGGTGAAGAAGCAATGCAGTTTGGAGTAGAATCATGGCTTAAACCGAAAGCACCATCTTACTCTAAGAACAATGAAATATTCCACATAATTTTTTTTTTTTTTTTTTTTTTGGTCTTTTTCCTATCGGTACTGGGGATCGAACTCACGACTGCCTGCTTGCAAGGCAGGCGCTTATGCCACTGAGCTAAATCCCCAGCCCCTCAGAATTCTTTTCAGTTGCTCACTGAAGGTTAAAAAAAAAAAGCAGAAAGACACAAAGAAAGTCTAGAAGTAAATACTTGCTTCCTTAGTGAGAGCACAAGGAAATGTCACTGGCCCAAAGTTGTTCACTGAGCCGCCGAAACCCTAGTTGTCACACAGCCAAGAATCATTTTGCCCATGCCTATCTCCTCCCAGACTTACAAGACATGCTGCGACCCTGAAAAACTCTGGTTGGAACTGAGCTGCAAAATTTCTGAAGACCAGGTGATAATGTTACGGTAAGAATCAAGCCGTCAATATAACAAAGCCGGGCTGGAAGGTCTAAGAGGTGAACTCCTCCATCTCCGCCCCTACACCAACAGAACAAACTGTGCCACACGCCCTGACTGTAGTATCTGGTACAGAGCAGACATGCTGTCATTCAACCCCTTCCCCTTCTTAGGCTGTCACTTCCGCTTTTTTTAAGGCTGTACAAGTAGCTAAAATAGCTGACTCACGGGGCTATTGGATTTGTTTTGAAGAAAAACTAAGCAACTGAACAAGAAGAACCTACAAACGTGGAGAAAAATGTGGAAACTGCATGAATTACCATTAAAACAGAATACTCAAAGAGTGTTTAGAACTGAATCACCCAGGAGAAGCAATGCATTTATGCTTATGGAGGAACCTGGAATGAAGCCCCAGGGACTCAGACTGTTGTGGGTGGCGCCAGAAGCAGCAACAAACCGACAAACCAGGTAGGAATTTGGGTCTGTGCGTTCAGTGGAAAACCTAACAGATAAAAATCAAAGTGAGGGCTGGTCAGCATTAACATGCTAGCCGTGTGTATCACACAAATTTGTATTTTGGGAGGATGTGCTAGTAATTTAGATAAATATGGAACATTTGATGGATTGAAGGTCTTAAGGACCAATTGTCTTCCAATTTATTTCCCTCCTAACCCTTTACAAGGGCCAACCAAGCTCTTCAAACATTGCGCAATGGTGTGTTTAATAACCCCATTTAGAGACAAAGCATGCAATTCCACTATAAAGAGAATCTATCTTATGCAACAGAGATTCATTAGCTGTCCAGTGTATACTGTCTCCACAAGCCAGCAGTGGCAGAACCAGCTGCCTCCTAATACATATCCTGTCCTTCTTCATTAAGCCCCATCCATTTCTCTTTAAAACTAGTCAATTAATTTGTCACTTGGTTAGAAGCACCATATGTCAATGGAACATCATAAGAAAATCATAAAATACTTTAGTTCCTCACCAAAAAAAGACTGCATCTTCTGACTGGCATTTCTTTCTTTATTCAGTATATTCACAGTGCACATCAATATTACTGTGTAGCATAATTCAGTCTTCCAATTATTTTAAGAACAGTTATCCTGGAACAAGGCTGGTCTACTATCGCCAAGAGATTAGTTTTCTCTGTGGCCAAGCATGTCTTGAAAGCACTGCCTGTAGGATACCTATCACTGAAATAATATTCTCTTCCCAGACGCTCCATTCTCTCAGTTGGACAGACTGTCAGACACAATGTGATTATGCATTTTTCGGCTACAGGAGTCTCTGCCAAGTTACGCTAGACAATAGCACATCTTATTGTCAATATTGGCTGAGGATGGTGGTAAGAAATTAATTCCAGTATTAACTTCAAATAATGCTGTCATTATTCCACGACAGTCCATAATCCCAGAAACTCCCCAAACAGAATCTCTCAGGCTTCAAGAATTTGTATTTTACCTGACAGTAAATTAAGAGTCTACATTGTGAACAGGGTATGCAAATAAGAACCAGTGCTATTCCGGGTACAATTCAGAGGAAGAAGCTGAGAGGCATGCAGAACTCCTTTCCCTCGCAAGCTACAGTTTTATAATCACTGTTTGTTTCTTCTCTCGGCCTTTTGCTTTGTGTCTTCAGCTGAAAACAGAGGGTAGCTCGCATTCAGTGTGCACCTCAGTACCCCTTCTTCTCAGCTCACCTACTCGAAGCAATAACTGACTGAGGGGAACTAATTTATTCTATTTTCGTCTGACTCTGTGTTTGGCAAATGCCAGTGCATTGATTTTGCTCACCCTGGAGTCATCAATTTGCTTGGGCAAGAGTTTGAAATAATTGGCTGGCCCCTTGAAATAGCTGACTCATGGGAAATAAGCGCTTTCCTCCTGCCCAGAGATGCACATCTATCAACACCCACCAGCGCAAACACCGCCACTGCAACCCCTGCATGCTGGGCACTCCAAGAAAGAGATAAAGTCTCTGCTTCCTGTTAGGCTGACCCAATGGATTCAGAATGAGCTTGAACAAGAAATAAAGACCCTACAACTACTACTTCTGAAAAATAAAGCACATTTCATGCATATGCATATACACGTGTATATATACTTATATATAATACCCATTCTATATGCATATATTATACACACACATATATATGTATACGACTGTAGCCTGCAAAAGAAAGTAGTTCTGGAAGCACATATATCCTTTCTACTGT